GTTCCCGGCGTTAAGCGAGGCGGCGAGGGGGAGGTCGTACATGATGTTCGCCGTCAACCTAGCTACGGGAGTGGGGGTTCGGTCGGAGCTAGGAGCCAGTGGAATTCCGCTACACGCTCCGGGAGTACGTTGAGATGATCGAGCGCTCCGTGCTCCAGCCACCGTCCTCCTCATCACCGCCCGCAGCCGGCTGCTGCTCCTAACCGTTTGCCGCCGGTCGCCGGCCTGCAGAGTGGTGAGATGGGAACAGAGGGGAGGAAGAGAAAGGTGAAGATAGATAAGGGTCATTGACATGTGGGGTCACGTGGATCTCACGTTTACTCAACATGCCACGTCAACTAAAACTAGACATAATATTGCTTAATATCTTGGGTGATCCAGTTTTATAAATTGAGGTATCAATTATATGTGGTATTTTGATTAGAAATGAAATTCAGACTCGACGACAAATTAAGAGAAATAAAATGAACTTATTCTGCAAAAAAGAAAAAATGACATCAGCCTAAGAAGACGCGGTTGGAGCCCACCAACCCCTTGTTGAAGAGGATGATGATGAACCCACTTTGCGCTTATGGCCCATTTTTTCGAGTCCAACCCGGCGCCCTCGGTTTGAAGTCATTGCCCTCCACAGCTGGTGACTCAAGAGCTCGACCTCGACAAGGCCAAGGTTTCCGCGAATCTTCATAGGGAGGAATTAGCTGAGGATGATGGTATTTGGCACCTTGGCACAGTTCACGAGAACTTCACAATTAGTATGTCGTATCATGTGCATTTAAAGTTTATTAATCTCGTGATATGTTTGTATTTCCTCTGTTTCAAATTATAATGCCTATATTTTTTTTACACGGTCATTAATAATATACTTCGATCAGTATTTTATTCCATTATATGATTCAATAAATATGAAATTAGCATAACATAAAAATACTTCAAAATATGAATCTAGTAATATAACATGCATAATACTTAGTATAGATATAATTAGTATGATTATTAGTCAAAAGCTACCGAGTTTAATTTTTCTTGAAAAGAGGATGCCCTATAATTTGGGACGGAGGGAGTACTGTATTATGAGGACTTGTAAAGTCCAACAAATCTATCCGCATATAGAGCAAGTACAATAGCAGGCTATAAGTTAGCTATAAACACATATTGAGTAGATGAAAGAGGATTGAGAGAAAACCAGCGGGCTACAGATTTGTAGCTAGTTGTGCGTATAGTAAGTAGGACTAGGTATTAATTGTGTATGAATTAACTATTAAATTGACTGTAAACTATTTGGAGCTAATAGTTGGCTATACTATTAAACTTTCTCTTATCTTATGTGAAAAGTCAACTTACAAAAGAAACAAAATATCGTAAGAAACCAGCTGTGACGGTCGTATGTAGTAAGTGCATCAGCAATCAGTGGCGGGCGTGTATACCGACGCGTCTAAGATGTGGTTCCTGTGGAACGCCTGGCCTCCCCCTCCATCCAGCCATCCCAGTCACCCTCCATCCCCCGGAATCTGCCGCCGCCGAGGCCGCCGGAGCCGAAGCAGCTGGCTCCCCGGGAGTGGAGGCCGAGCGATCCACCCAAGACGGCGGCCCGACGCCCAGATCTGACGGCTGACGCCGGCCTCCTCCCCCGCCGCCGAGGCCTCTTCGCCGACGCCGCGTCGGTGCGACGCCGACGACCTGAGCGAGCTCTTCAGGCCCTATGGCGCAGTCCTCTCCGTCGAGGTACAGCATCCCAAACCATCCTCCATTGCTCGCGATATCTTCAGTGCCAACCACGCAGTAGCGGGGTACAGCTCGAACAGTTACGTTACTTCTAAGAATCACAGACTGACTTGAACCAAAATTTTCATCGAACCACTCACTAACTAAATGAATGGATTTGGGCACACCTGAAATTCTCAGTCTGCAAGTGAGTTGGGAGCTCATCATTTATGCAAGGACTTAGGTTTTGACATTGTTCATTTAGTTAAGCAGGCCTCTGAGAGCTTAATTGCAGAACTGCAGAATTGCTTCTTTTTTTTTATGTTTCAGATTCTTATAATCTCTTCGCAAACTCTGTAGCTCCAATAGTTCATGATGAACAGGAGGCTTTTACTGTTGTGGTTCGAATAGGACCAGACATTTGGGAGTAAAGAATTGCAAATCTAAATTAATGTGCTGAGTTTATGTTCTCAACTTATGATTAATTCTGATAAAGGGAAGCCCATTTTATTTCGTTGAATTTGTGTGCTGTGTGATATCTATGTTTTTCTTATCTAAGTTTACTAATTGCATCAAAATTCGGAACTGAGGCTACACTTATAGAACAGAAATAATGTAGCCTATTTTAATGCTGTGATTTCTAGGATTTTTTTTTCTAAGTTTAGCAATTGCATCAAAATTCAGAACTGAGGCTACACTTACAGAACAGAAATAGTATAGCCTATTTGAACACTGTGATTTCTAGGGGTTTTTTTCCTAAGTTAATCAATTGCATCAAAATTCAGAACTGAGGCACACTTAGAAAACAGAAACAATATCGCCTATTTTAATTCTGTGATTTCTAGGATTTTTTTCCCCTAAGTTTAGCAATTTGATTAAAATTCAGAACTGAGGCTACACTTAGAGAACAAAAACAATATAGCCTATTTAAATGCTCCATGTATAGGATTCCAAAATTAGATTTCTAGAACATCCTATATCATTCCTTCCTGTTTAAGCAGCAAACTTCTATGTTGAACTTTGTTTAATCATACCATTCAAGTGCAGTAACTATTAATGAAAGAGTGGTCTGGTTTAATCTGTAATTTTGTCTGGACAGTAGAAGAGAAAAATAGAAGGGACGGAAATACTGCATTCTTTCATGCTGTAGGTAACCAGAGAAATAGGGAAAAAAAAACATATCGATAGCCTAGATTCTAGAAGGCCAGAGGCTCCTGTTTAGGATAATAAAGGCATGCTTAAAATTTCTATGGATTACTGCAACACTCGTTTTGGGTATTAAAACAAACTGAATGTCTCTCTACAGGACAAGTTCTGATCTCTAGATGAAAAAGTTATTGCTGAGAAGAACCATATTTTGGAAAAGATTTCTCTGATGATGTTAAAAAAGGCTGTTTTTGATTTTTATGCGAAAGGGGACCCAGGTCCTGATGGTTTCTCTTTCATGTTTTGTCAGAAATTTTGGGTGTAATGAGGGGTATAATTAAACAACTGCTGTTTGTACCTAGTGTAATGTGTGGTATGAATCTGTTTGTATAGCATAAGGCCGATGAGCACAGGTTATTAGTTGAGTGAAGATGATAATAAGTTGGCATTTGCAGTTTGATGGGATGTGCACTAGTGTCGCTAATGAATGCTTTGCATCTTATAATGCTTTTCATCCGGGAACTTTTCACTTTTTATTACACACTGATGAGTACAAGTGTTTATGCATTGATTAGTTGTTCATATTTAGAAATCTCGGTTTATCTCCTTCTGAAATTATGTGTATGTGAAATGTTGTGTGATAACTTTGAATTCTACGAACATTAAAGGGAATATATCAATGTCTCTGTGAATATGATTGTGAAATGTCTAGTGCTGTGAATATCATATTATTATTGCCAGTGTTCTGTCATTCATTGCTAAAAAAACTATTTTTCAATGCTGGTGATAACCCCTTTATACATGTATTTACCGAACTGCTTGTGATTTAAGGCCTACATAAATCAATAACTTAGTTCCTCAGGCGTCCTTGAACCTCTTGGAGAAAACCATATCTCCGTGAAAATTAATTTCTACTTTTTTTTTCTTTTTGTAGGTGAAAAAATATTTCACTTTTTACTAGGCGTCTAGTATAGTAAAACTACACTATGTCACTCTACTTGTAGGCTCTTATCATCTCAATTATCAAGCACTTTAGACTAGCCTAAAACTACATTTTTAAGAGAATCATTCATCCTGTGCATTTGGAAGCCATCTGTCCAAGCTTCGTGTTACATTCTGAAAAATATTGCATTGCACTGCTTCCAAGTATGCCAACAACCCAATATACTATATCAAAGAGCTTTTCCTACGAAATTTGAGCCTTGCAAGCTATAATCTGATGGAAGTCCAAAGATTTTTTCCAGGGAATTGTTCCACTTGCTCCATAACTGTAAGTTTTGCAGCATTTGGCGGCAATCAGTGCTTGTGATCCACTTTTGCTCACTATTTGTTCAGGTTTGAATACAATTGTAATTTGAGCCATTAGTGACTGTATGTCTCATTTTGTTAAAATTATGACCGGCCATCCTTTTCGTGTATGTGCCTGTATTGGGCTAGATCATGATGGTATATTCTACATCTTGTTACAGCTATGTGATACACTTGTACTTGGCAGATGATGCCAGACTTTTCCTATGTATTGGGCCTTATGTGTATTTGTAAACAAAAAAAAGACTTTCTTGAGAGGACGCTAAACCACGCTTTAATACCTGCTATCCTGGAATACGTAGTATTAACTTCTATTGTTCCAAATGGATGCGTTTACCTTCTGAACATTATCAAAATTTACCTCTCATTCGTTATGCCAGTGAAATTTCCAAGAACCCGTTTGAAATACGGACAATTTTGTTTGAGAATTGAATTGTTTTCATTGTTTTTTTTTTTTGAATTTCTGTGTTCAAGAAGGGGACATTTACTGAAGAGCCTAAAGCATAATGTGAGCTATCATTTTTCATTTTAGCAAGATATGTAACCTTTATTTGACTAGTCATGCAATATCTCTAGTGACTATACAAGGACACAAATCCCCAATAAATACCTCATGGCACAGGACATAAATTTCTTCTACAAGACATCGGTTTTAGCAACCGTTTCCTTATTTGACTTATGGGGCTAGCAAGAATAGCGTCCACATCAGTGCACAAAGGTGTGATACAGAAGATCTCAAGCACATAGGCCACTAGGACACTACAGAACAAGCTGACGTAAGGGGAGAGAAAAAGGAAAAAGGACAGAGCCAGAAGGACAAGAGGCCAAGTTTAGCAACGCAGAGCAAACGGTAAACCCACAAACACAACCATCCCCTCCTTACTTCTGCCCCCATCCCAAACCCTACCGCCTCCAGATCCCACCCTCTCGCCACCGCGACGCTTGCCGGAGGTTCGGTTCCAGCCATGCGGATCCGGAGGAACGCCTCCAGGGTGCTCGGGTCAGCCTACTTCACCACACAGTCGGAAGCATCACGCGCATATATGAGCAACCTCCCACCGACATCGTCCGCGCCTGCGCCTGTTGCATATGGCGGCGGCGGCGGCGATCTTGGTGGTCCTATGGTCACTCCAGACGATGCTTGCCAGCTAAGCCTGTCGCCATGGGATCTGCCATATGAGCTCGAAGATCCTGATCCCCTGGTAAGCTTTCGATAACTTCTCCCTCACCCAGGCCATCAGATCTAGATGCACTATGCTTGTTATTAATTTCGTTTCTTTTAACCACCTCTAGTTTTAATGCTCCGTGAGAGTTGCCAATCTTGCTTGCTATGTTCCACTTGGGTTTTTGGTGTGATGGACCAGCGGTCTCGCTCTCCGATGGTTCTAGGGTTCCATCTGTGAAAGAGATTAGAGTCGTGGTTTTGACATTTAAGGTTGCTTGGTGGGGAGTAGGGAATGACAGAAATTAATCACATCAACCAGCAAGATCAAGCTTCCGGCAGGCTTTATGGGCTTCTTCAACCCAAGATTTAGGAGTCATGGGGCAGCTAGGGTTGGGGAGGGGCGGAAATGGATGCCCTAGATCTGGCTATCCGTGAATATTATTCGATAGCTCTCTGGCTCTCTTTTCTACTCCCTTCATCCCAAAATATAAGCATTTTTAGCACATTGGCAGGTCAAATATTTTTAACTTTGACCATTAATAGAAAAAAATTAAAAAAGATCAATCATGTAATTGATGTTACTAGATTTATCATTAAACAAACTATCATAATATGCAACTATTTTAATTTAAACATCTTATTTTTATAGATATTGTTAGTCAAAGTAGCATATCGAAGACCGTGCCAGGGTCTAAAAATGCTTATATTTTGGGATAGAGGGAGTAGCTTTTTTATGCATGTTGATCTGCTAAAATAGAGTAAATTGCGCCGTTGGTACAAAAACTTATGAGGTGGGTAGGATTTGGTGCTCAAACTTGTACGTCTGATCTGTGTGTAAACTAAAACCAAAACATGTCTAACTGATTTCACTAGTGACATATTAGGTTGGGGGGGGGGGATTGTTAAGAGGGAATGCAAGTTTTGAGGGGTGGGGACCGTTAAGTCTATAGATTGGTTGATAGACGTGAGAGTTTCAGGATGGATATGGAGGGGAGTTTAAGAGCAATCTCCTACCTTTTCAATACTAGAGAATTGAACTTTCGTCGTGGTACCCAAAATCACAAATATTTCGGCAAGATTAAGAACCGGTAGTAAAGATGCTTTAGTACGGGCTTTAAAAGTCCAAGTCCCTAGAAACATTTTTTTGTCCCGGTTGGTGTCACCAACCGATACTAAAAATACATCTTTAGTACTGGTTGGTAAAACCAACCGAGACTAATGTTGGAGGATACTTTTAGTACCGGTTAGTTCAAAAAGAAAATATATGTATCCAAGTCAGATGTGTGTACTGTGTAGGATGGTAACACGCGTGAGGACTGAGGTGAGAGATCTTGAGTTCGAATCCCACATCCCACATATTTATTTTGACTAGAAAAAAATGCTCGAGCGTTGCAACGGTAAATGCTATTTTAATTTTATTATTGTTTTACGGTTTAGTAGGGTAAAATTCGCTTGGATAAATTTTTTAGAAAATCATGAGCTGCAATTAGAAGTCCATATTGCATCTCAAGTTAGCATGTGAGTTTTTCTAAAAGATTTTTTATACGACTCCTTTTATACTTCAAAAAGAAACAAGCTTAAAATCTAACTCAAACACGGATCTGTATTTCCAAATATGAACGAACTTAAAACCCGACTCAAATACGGATGACGTACCTAAATACCGGCAAAAACATTTTCAATTTTTATAATAGTAGAGACTTGGTATGCATATAAAGATCGAGATCTTTAGTCTCGATTCCGGGGTTTCCAACCGGTATAAAAGATGAGTTCTCTACTGATGTATATATGACAAATAAATATGAACAGTACGTCATCATGTGGAATTCAATTCTCTTCCATACTCATTCTCGTCTCTACGACCAAACAAAGAACTAGGAGTAAAAATGAAACTCCCATAACCAACCCCTGAACCAACTTCCTCCTCCAAACTTTCAATCCATTTCCTGCTGTTGTCAAACAGGCCATAAGTTGAACGTTGATTAGGATGTGTAGGCTCGAATGTCAAGATAATATTACGTAAATATCCATATGACAATTCATGTTAATTATACATATTAAAACATATATAAAAGGGATATGCAATGCATACAAAATAATTAAAAACAAAAATAACTACAATATGTATAAATGTTAATTATTTACGCATACAACATATCTTGTGCTCTCATATGCGTGTGTTTTGTGTACTAAATTATACCCACCTGATAAGTTTGAATACTACAACGCAGTTAACTCTCTAAAAAAACTGTGGATTTTTTTGTGAACTGTACACCACATATATCAAATAACTTATGTTTCTCTTGCTTAGTTCAATTTATATCTCACAATATGATTCAAACCTTTCAGGAGGCTCCGTTCGACAGGTACATGGCGTGCATCCCTTTTAGGGCAAGCTTTGTGTCCGACAGCGACAACAACGATGATGATCAGATGGAGGTGGACGAAGACAAGAGTTGGAATCAGGTGGAGAATGAGGAGGTGAATGATCAGCAGCAACCAGCTGACCACAAGGTGGACCAAAGTGGTGATCCGGCAGCCAGAAAGATGAAGGGGAAGATGAACGAGAGCAGCATGGTGGTGATGGAGATGCAAGATGCTGACAAGCAGGCTGGTGTTTGGTACTGCAACAAGAATGATGGCAAGAAATGGCACTGCCGAAACATCGTCGACGGGCCCAAGACCCTGTGTGACTACCACCTAGCAAAGAGCCGCTCTTACTACACCCGCACTGGTGAGGCAGGTGCTGCAGCTAGTTCCAAGTCAGGCCGAGCAAAGGCACCAGCTATTGCCAAGCCAAAGTCCAGTTCCAAACGAACTCCAGCAGGTGAGTCAAGTGCTCAAAACAACTCTATTGCAGCAGCAGCAGCAGCAGCAGTGAGTGTGCTGCCAACCATCTCCTCCCAGCCATCCAAGAGGAAGGCAAGCAATGGCTTATTAGGTGGTGATGCCTACTATTTCTATGATATGTTCGTCCCATACCGCAAGAAGGATCGTGGTGGTAGCAGCAGCAAACAGCAAGCCGGTGCTGAGGAGAAGGAGATCCTGCCACAAGATAATGCCGTCGCCATGGAAGAGAAAATGGACGGCAAGAAACTGTACGATGGTGTTTACAACTCGTCTGATTACTCCTCGGACACTGCTAGCGACGACGAGAGCGACGAAGACTATACCGTTGGTGGTGCCAGCAAGCGCCGTACCAAGAAAAGGAAAATGAAGCTTTCAGTGAAGAAGGTGCAGTTCTCGAAGATGACGAAGAAGCGTGTGAAAGAACGGTCGCTTAAGTCCCTGCTCTAAGAGTTCTAATTCGATCGGTTGTCTGTGGGACAGTTTCAGTTTAGCCGTGTTGTCGCTTAATGGCATATCATGTATGGATTTAAGACGTGTACCGTTTAAATAAATGTTTGAACCTTGTGATGTTTATCAGACATAATTTCGGGTTGTTAAATTTAGTGATGGTGGTCAAGGAAATAATACAATCAAACTTTTGATATAATTTAATATAGTGAGCGTAGCTAAACTGGTTAGCTCTTTTGTGCAACCTATCCAGGTTCACGTCATGGACTTACGACTACTTATTCTTTTATTAGTTCGCAACGGATAGCGAGATATTACTAAAACCAAATATCACCAAAAATAGTCATCTGCAGACTGCACCTAGGTCGATTTCAGCCTAACACTGTGTTCTCTTTCTTCTGGGTGTTCTGCTCCAGCCTTTATCTTCCTCTGTGTTGCCTAAGCCTCGACACCCGGGACCCTTTGGTAGGGATGAAATCGGTTCATATATTCCCGATATCCAAATTCATTTTCGGAAAAGGATAGTTTCGAACAGATAATTATTGGACAGTAATTAATACGTATAGTTTTTCTTCTCAAACTGACAGTAAGACCAGATCAGTATCCAGCGAAATCGGTTCCAGTCAGAAACTATATGGATTTTTCCGGATATCCACATATAGCAATCAATTTTTTAAAAAAAACACATATGTATACATAACTTTATTATATACTAGAAAAAAATACCCGTGCGTTGTAACGGGTGAAGGCTATTTTAATCTTATTATTATTATATGTTTCAGTTAAGGTAAAATCTAATGTGAGAACTCGTTTGAATATATATATATATATATATATATATATATATATATATATAGAAAATCATGGTGTCCGATCGTCTCAAATTAGCATGCGAGTTTTTTAAAAGAGATTTCTTATACGATTCCTTCTGTATTTCCAAAAGCGAACTAATTTAAAAACCGACTCAAATGCGGATCTGTATTTGAAAAGAACAAACTTAAAAACCAACTCATGCACGGATGACGTACCAAAGTACCAGTAAAAATATCTTCAATTTTTATAATACTAGAAAAAATATCCGTGCGTTGCAACGGGTGAAGACTATTTTAATCATATTATTGTTAGATTTTTTTTTTGTCTAAAAAGTATATGGGATTTTTATTTTGAGATGATATCCAATTCGAAACCCTTGTATTTTTAAAAGCAAACGAATTTTAAAACCAACTTAAATACGGACAACGTACCAAAACTATCAACGGAAACAACTTCAGTTTTAATAATAAATCACTTAATCCTAAATAGCCGAAGGAAATCATATGTTGAAAAACTTACGTTAAAAAGAATCATGTGTAGATGAATCCTTCACAAAATAAACGGACATGCATGCAAGCCACCCATACAAAAATTAGTATGTTTTTCATTTGCATGTGTACAAAATTATTGAAATAAACATAGACAAATCTGGAATAAATAGTATGTAACATATGCTTAGAAGATGGGCAATATTTTCCACTAAGACAGCTCAAAATAGGAAGACAGATTGTGATAGACGTTGGGCCCTTTTACAATTTTAGGCCCATATATGTGCAAAAACGTATTGGATGTGGAGAGAAAATAAAAGGAAACGTGAATATGGTCAAAATGCTAAAAACATATATGAATCGGAACAAGACGGCTTGTTGGAACGAACGGATGACGGACGAAAATTTGATGAGTATAAAATTATCTTCAATTCTTATAATAGGTAAAGATTACGATAAACGTTTTGTTCTCTTTTGAAGGCATTTTTTGGTTTTTTTGCCTTTTTTATTATTTTGGATGGATTTTTTTTTCACGGACTGCTTGACTGCCTTTTTTATTGTTGCATACAAAACGAATAATAAAAATTTTTAGGAACGACGTTTTTTCGCCGTTCTCGGGGAATCGGACTTTTCTTCTGGGGGACTTTTTTGCTCTTTTTTTTATTTTTTTACGGACGTTTTTTTCACCATTTTACGGGGAATCGGACACATTTTCTTTTTAAGGCGGTCCAATTAATTCGCTCGGATGGAAACATTAAATTAAAACCTATTTAAACACGGGTGACCTATCAAAATCTCGGCAAAAACACCTTTAATTTTTATAATAGTAGAGATAGAGATAGAGATATATGGTTTAGTTAAGATGAAATGCATTGTGTTAAATTCGTTTGGATATATATTTTGTTAGAAAATCATGAGTTACAATTAGAGTCTGATCGTCTCAAGTTAGCATGCGAGTTTTTTAAAGAGATTTCTTATATGATTTCTTCTGTATTTTCAAAAGCGAATGAACTTAAAAACCGACTCAAATACGAATTTGTATTTCTAAAAGCAAATGAACTTAAAACCGACCCATACACGGATGACGCACTAAAGTACCGGCAAAAACATCTTTAATTTTTATAATAGTAGAGAAGTAGAGATGAGAAATATAAATATAAAAATAGTAGAGAAGAATTTTATTTTTAAATCACCAAGAGAATATAATTTCAGGTCATACGCACAAAGTTCTCAAAAGAAAAATATATCATATGCACAAGCTGTTTGGTGGCTAAAGGCAGCAGGCCCATTTGGCTCATGTGGGGGCCGGCTGAGGACCTGTTGTAGACTTGCAGTAGGGGGCTGTGGGCAGATGGCCAGCCAGCCCAGAGAGGAGATCAGCAGGGGAAAAGTATACCGGAGGTCCTTGAACTTGTCACCGAGATAAAAAAACGTCCTTGAATCGCAATACCAGACACCCGGGGTTCCCCAAGTATATAAACCGGTCACCCGAGATCCTCGATAGTTTTGACCCCGGTTTTGGCCTACATGGCGGCTAAGTCGGTGTGGGACCCTCGTGGGCCCCACATGTCAGGTGTCCACATCATCTCTCTTTCCCCTCTTCTTTCTTCCTCCCTCCCCTCTCTGCACTCTCTCTCGTAGGTCGGGCCGACGGGTAGGGAGCAGACGGCTGGGCGGCGAGCGAGGCTGAGCGGCGGCGCTGCGACGGCGGCGGCGGCGACGTCGCCCTCTTCTTCTTCTCCCGCTCCCTGGACCCTGCCGCTCCCGCTCCCTCCTCATCTCCCTGGACGCCATGGACCGGGTGCTCGCGCTCGACGCCGCCTACCCGCTGCCTCTCCTCCCCGTCATGCTCGACAAGTTCCCCAAGGTCGTCGAGCCCGCCCGGTGGTGGCAGCCGACTAAGAAGCAGCAGTAGCAGCAGCGTGCTCCGATCTTCAACACGTCAAAGGTAGCGGCAACCAATGGCGCCGCGGGCCGGCGAGCCACCGCCATGGCCGGGAACGGCTGGACCCAAGAGGTGGAGGAGGAGATGCGCGACATCCTCCGTGTCATCAGGGCCAAGGACGAGAACGAGTACGTGTCAGTCGGCAAGCTGGTCCTCGCCCTCAACAAGCGCCTCGCCATGGCAGGCCCGGCGCTGGCCGGCGCTGCCACGCTCGCCGCAGCGTTCATCGGCTCCGGCGAGGTCGTAGCGTAGGCGTCCGGCGTGGCAGTCCTCGGTGGCGCGCTGGCAGCGGCGGTGAACACCGTCGAGCACGGCGGGCAGGTGGGCATGGTGTTTGACCTGTGCCGCAACATGGCCAGCATCTACCGGAAGATCCAGGAGGACATCGAGGCGTCGCCTCAAGGAGGCCGACGTCGAGCAGAGGGAGAACTGCAAGGTGTTCGAGACGAAGGTGGCGCTGCAGCTCGGCCGGAGCACGTTGGAGCTCAAGAAGTTCAAGGCGATAGCCTCGCCGACGGTCAAGGACGAGGACATCAAGGAATTTGCCGGGAGGGAAGGTGGACTGGGCGGAGCACGGGTCGGCGCCGCCGCCGTGGTGGTGGTCGCAGTACTTCACGACGCGGGAGAGGGCAGCGCCCTTGACGACGTTGGGGAGGTTGACGACGAAGTCGTCCTCGCCGCTGCCGTCCGCCACCACCCTCCTCGAGCATCCTCCTAATCGTGCCCGACGCTGCGGCGATCACCTTCGATGAGGACGGAGCAGGAGCGGCAGGGTCCAGGGATCAGAGAAGAAGAAGAGGGCGACGCCACCGCCGGCCGCCAGCCGCCGTCGCGGCGCTGCCGCTCAGCCCCGCTCGCCGCCTAGCCGTCTGCTCCCTACCCGTCGGCCCGCCGCCCGGCCTTGAGAGAGAGAGAGAGAGAGAGAGAGCAGAGAGGGGAGGAAGGCAGAAAGAAGAGGGGAAAGAGAGATGACGTGGATACCTGACATGTGGGGCCCACGTGGGTCCCACGCTGACTCAGCCGTCACGTAGATCAAAACCGGGGTCAAAACCACCCAGGGATCTCGGGTGACCGGTTTTGTATAGTTGGGGGACCCCGGGTGTATGATATTGCGGTTCAGGGACGTTTTTTATCTCGGTGACAAGTTCAGGGACCTCCGGTATACTTTTTCCGCAGTGAGCCAGAGAGGAGACGCGCAAAAAGCTGGGCCCATCTCTAAGCGCATACATGCGCGAGAAAAATCAGAGACTTGATGATTTTCCGCGCGCCGTTGATAAGAAAATCGGAGATGAACGGGTTTTTTTAATCTTGGACAAAATCTTTTTACGGACGAAAGTTTTTTACGGAAGCCATATGTAATTTTTTATTAGTATATATAGATATATATATATATATATATATATATGATTTAGTAAATTTTCATATCTATTAATTATATAAGATTAAGTAACTTTTCTTTTATCTTTAGAAGCTTTATCTATTTCTTTTTTATCTTTACAAAAACTTGCATCGTGTCCAATAAGAACTATTATAAATCAGTGGGCATAAATATGTATACCGGGATTTATTAATCAATCTCTCGATAATATATAATTTTCACCGCATTGCCATCTTCTATCCCATCGAGTCATTCGTTTCGATTTATCAATCTAGGAATCAGGAAAGTACATCCGTCCCCCATGGCCGCCGCCACCAGCGACCACCTCTCCGGCCTCCCCGACGACCTCCTCCGGCACATCATCTCCTTGCTCTCTGCCAAGGAAGGCGCCGCCACCGCCGTGCTCTCGCGGCGTTGGCGTCCGCTGTGGCGCCAGGCGGGCACCGTCAACCTGGACACGGAGCCCTACTTGTACCCGGCAGCGTACAGAGGCAACAACTTCCCGGAGCACAGGCGGAGCGCATTCGTCGGCCACGCGCTGGCCGCCCTCGCCGCGTGCGAGAGCCCGAGGGTCCTGAGCCTTCGCCTCGTGTCGGAGGAGATCGAGGGAGGCGCTGCCGAGGAGAGGTGTGCCGGTGTGGTCGACGCCGTCCTGGACGCCCCGGCGGCGGCGCGCGTCGAGGAGCTCCGCGTCCGCTGCGCCGTCTCGTGGCTCTGCGAGCACGGCAGCTGCGAGCGCTCGAGCTCCAGCGGAACGTGGCGGCTGCGGCTCGGATCCCTGCCCTGCGCCGCGGCCACGCTCCGCGTTCTGCACGCCAACGACGTCGGCGTCGAACGCCTCGGCGACGGCGACGGCGGCGTCGTCCTCCCGCTCCTGGAGGAGATGCGGCTGGTGAAAGCCACCGTGTCACCGGAGACGCTCCAGGGCGTGATCGACGCCGCGCCGAGGCTCGCCAACCTGTGGCTCGAGAGGATCAGCTTCAGGAGCAACGACGGCAGCCGGGGCGTCTACCTCGCTGACGGCTTCCGCCTCCAGCTCTGAGGCCCGGCGCTCACCGAGCTAGCCCTCATCGGGTATTACAGTAGAGATCGCTGCATCGAGCTCGACGTGTCCCGCCTACGCTCCTTCGTAAACGAACGCTCCCTCCCGGGGCGCTTCTCCTTGACCTCGCCGGCGCCGGACCTCGCATCCGCCGACCTTCACTTCCACGACCACCGGAGCTATGGCGACAAAGATCCCAACAACTTGACCGTACCCATGTGGAGCTGCCTCCGGCACCTGCACGGCGTGAGGGTCTTGAAGCTGCAGCTGGACTTCTATGCAGAGTACATCGCCGTGGACGCCGACGACGCTGACGACGGCGTCCTCGCCACGTTCCCTAACCTTGAGTACCTCGAGCTTGACGCCCATTGCAAGGATGATCACGACATGGCCACAGAATTGACAGTAGCAAGCGTCCTCCGATGGTGCCCTGCCATCCGTGAGCTACGGCTCAGGTTGTCAGTAGCCGATGCTGAAGGCCGCGTCAATGTGATCTACAACAGCAAACGGCACATGATCCATCACGCAAGAATGATGAGGAACAGCTTTGGACAGGATGTGCAAACCAAAATTTATGTTGATGTGACCAACATTACGACATCCTCGCCGTAGGAAATTAGAACACAAGACAGATTACGTCTGTGTTAGCAGGTTCAGTTCCATCATCATGTAATAATCGGACTTGTTACTTTATTAGTGGATGTTTTTTTTTCATACTAGCAAAAGTGCCCATACGTTGCAACGGAAAGAAAAAACGAGAAAATTGAATTAAAACATATTAAATTCTAATTTAATGAAATACAAATTTCCTAGATATTAATTACACTATTTGAAATTTTAGCAAAAGTGTCCGTGCGTTGTAACGGAAAGAAAAAAAAGAGAAAATTAAATTAAAATATATTAAATTCTAATTAAATGAAATACACATTTTCTGGAATATTTGGGTATTTTTTAAGTAGTTAGATATATAATTAAATTAATTTTCAAGTAAAGTAAGTGTGAGAAATAAAATGTTATGCTTGGATTTAATTTATATTAAATTTTCTATATTAATTACACTCTTTGAGATTTTCTTGAAATTTACAGAGCTTAATTGATAATTTTAATAATACAAATATCATTTTAGAATTTATTTAAATAAAAAATCATTTTTCTCTATGGGCCATTTTCAGCCCATTTTCTTCTTCAGCCCGCAAGCGCTAAAGTATACTTAATATCCCCATACTCCTCTCACTTGCTGGACCGCCAGCCCGCATGCGGCCCAAATGGTGCGGCCCAAACGCTTGATCGATCTGATCCGTTCGTTTTCATCGACGGCTCAAATCGGTTACCTCCCATGCCCCAGACTCGTCTCTTCCCCGCCCGCGACGCTGCCTCTCCCCCTCCCCCCAGCCGGTTGCCTCCCCCGCCACCGGCGCCGTCTCTCCCCCCACCGGCGCTGCTTCCCCTCCCTTCTCGCCGGCACGGCGCGGCGACGGCGGGGTGCGGTGGAGATGGCGGCGACGGCGCCCTCTCTATGGCGCGTCGACGGTGACGACGGCGTCGGCAGCGTCCGTGCTCCTTCTCTCCCTCTTCTTCCCGTCTTGCCGGCACGACGCAGCGACGGCGGGGTGTGGCGGAGACAGCCGTCCCTCCCCCTCTCCCTCTCCCCGTCGGCCTCAACGGTGAAGGTGCCCTCCCAATGGCATCGTCGATGGCGACGTGGTGTCGGCGGCGTCCGCGGGTGGATCCGTCACTGGTAGCGGCGACCGCAAGCGGATCCAGTAGCCGTGGCTCCCTCCGCCGGCTCTCTTCTTCCTTTGGTGGCAATGATGGCGTCGGTGGCTGAGGATGGTTTTTCTTTTTTTTTTTTTGCAATTTTTTCTATCGCTATTGATAACCAAATCGGATTTCGTACGGAAGAAAACACGGATGAAAATTGGATGTGATGAAAGGAAAATTACGAATCTTTTAATTAGTTAAGATATCAAAATTGTAGAGCTTGATGATAAACTTTATATCAAAATTGTCGATCTTGACGAGATCTACAACTTTGTTATTGATATCTATATCATTTGAAATCATTTTGAGGTCTAAATATTCGTTACAAAATCTCATAGCTATGTTTTACAAAATCTCAGACCAACTATTCAAACAATCTCCGATGGAGACGTGCACTGTATCAAAGTTGCATATATATAGCTTGATGGGATTGTGACATTTTTATTTTAAATTATTTGGAGCGCAAAAACAATCATGACAATTGATGAAATAAAATGAACGGAATAGCATCTTCAATCTAAACATCGATTCTGATTATTACACTCTGTAACGTGCAGAGGCACACGCGCGGGCCGCTACATACATGACAGCTGGTGGACACGCCGCTCTGCCCGTTGCGACACACCAGCCTACGCTGTTTTGGGCTGACGCACCAAGCAAGCGAGCGAGGCACAGATGCTTCGGTGGTACCAAGGCGCCACCGCACCGCCACCCATGTCAGCCACAGAGCAACACTGGCTGCGCAATAGTTTACTACGAGCCCCGTCGACGAGCGCGCCAGCCTGCCGCTGGCACAAACCCCGGCCGACGGGGACGCCGCCGCTACCCTCCCAATTCCGGTCGTCTCGCTCTCGCGGTCTATCTACCCCTAGCCCGTTCGGGACAGCGCGTCTTCCTTCTTCACGGAAGAGAGGACGGCGCTATGATTTGCCGATGACCGCGAGACCTGACCCGCTCCACACCACGTACGACAGCACCGGCCGGCACCGCGCGCGTTTATACGACGCACTCATCCTGCGCCGCTTTTCGCACCGCAAGGGCCGCGCGAGTCAGGACGAACCATGACCACGCCACGCTGCCGTGCCACCACGACCGTGGACGTGAGGACGATCCGCGAGTTCGACCTTCACCGACCCATACCTTGATGCAAATGGTTTTGCTGTTGGCCGATCCGGTGTACTGCTTCCCGGCTACCGCACAGTGCATGAGGACCCTCACTCTTCCCTTCATTCCCCCTCCTCGGTGCTTTTCTGAATGTCACGCAGTCAAAGTGACGGCGCAGCCGCTACACGGCGTGCCACCACGCCCGCTTACCATGCGCCTAGGCTGCACGCCGCTACCACCGGAGCATCTGTGCCTGATCGGCTTGTCGGAGCTGGCCACCTTGTCAGCGATTGTCTCACAAAACCACGAAGACGGGACGATGATTCACACCGCTCGCTGTTCTGCCCAGACGCCTAATTGGCCACGCCAACATACCAAGTGCATGGACCGTCTGTTGGAAACGCTCCCTTTCCCGGCCGCGGGGGGCCTCAACCAACCGGCCACCGTCTCTAAGGCATCCTAGGTCAAACCCTCTCACCGATAGGCTCCCCTAGTCCCACACCCCTCGTCGTCGATAAGGCTCATCGGTGTTTTGCTTACGCCGCTGTACTGCATCAAGCCCGCTGAGGATTACGCCCCTATCCGCAGTGCTCCCCTAGTGGCGCTAAATAAAGCAAAGTGCTTCCTTAGTCCCTACGAAGCCATCCCAAGCACCGTGCCAACCGATTGATCGCTGACTCCAACAAATTTCACTGGAATCAAACCCACACCATCTCGCCTCCACCACCCTCATGGACATGCCGCCACAACCCCACCTAGCAACCAACCGCATTCCTCGCAGGCTTTGGCAAGCCTCATCGATGCCCTTGGATCCCTACAGCCTCTTGGACCCTCCACGTCCACGGCCACCACTTCGTTGACGTCCATGGAAACCATCCCCGACTGCTACCTCAATCAGCCCTTCCCACCGCTTGAGACCACCTCAACCGGCACGCCGCTGCCTAGATATGGCAGAGGCTTCCTGGGTTTTCCCCTTGCCAGGCGCACCGTCTTCCAGGCTACATGTCTCCTTCATGGGCTAACCCTAGCGATGGCGAGCTCTCGAGACAGGATCACAGGGGAGAAGAGAGAAGTGAGGAAGATGAGAGAGAAGGATGTCAGTATTATATATGAATAAGGCATACCAAACACTAATCTATTAACCTTGGTGGGGCCCAACATATACAAAGGCGTATGCGGTATAAAGACTCATATACGGAAGATGTTCTCGATAAGGAAAGAGAAAGAAAGTCCTACTCGAGCATTGCATGGTCTACTCGAATCATAGAACTATAGATCTAACAAAAAAATTATTATAGAACTCTAGTTCTAACAATACATTTATCACAAAACTACATGTTTAAGACTGGTATCAGAAAGCTATAGATTTAATAATAAAATCATCACAAAACTACAGATTTTGGGGTTTAAATCCTTACCACTAATGTTATGTTTGAGTTATAACATCCAAGTTTTGTGATTAAATTAATATTAAAGTTGTAGTTTTATGATATGTTTTTTATTAAATATGTAGTTTTGCTATATTATACCATAAATCTGTAGTTCTGAGATAAATTTAGTGGTAAATTTGTAGTTTTATGACATAACATGTTGGTTTTCTTATAATTTGGCCAAAGCACATATAGCTCTGTGAAATTTACTCTTTACAAAACAAAAAGGTTGTGGGACCCACCTTTCAGTGAGACAAGATATTTTCCTAACGAAAAAAAATCTAGAAAATAGCTCACCCATTTTAAATCAGATTTCAATGAATCTTTCACCAAAATTCTTTTAAAATCAAGACATATCCATTGACACATGTTTGACATTTTTCATATTTTTCTAGGATTTTCGCCTTTTCGTTAGAATAGGAAAAGTAGCTATATTGACGATCATCTGTCGACCAAGTTACATTTGTGACGAAGAGGCCGAAACAGTCGAGGAGGAGCCATTGACTGAGCAGGGCAGGTCACCACGCTTCTCTTGTTGAGCATATTGATCCCATGTTCATGAATATTTGCAAATAAAATTGCATGCTAATTATAAAATACTCCCTCCGTCTCAAAATAAGTGCAGTTTTGCACTATTCACGTTCAACGTTTGATCGTTCGTCTTATTTGAAAATTTTTTATGATTAGTATTTTTATTGCTATTAG